TTCCTCTATTGCAATTAAATGTTCTTATAAGGAAAGAAGGATTTTCAACCCAGAATTTTAAACTAAATATAAGAACGATTTATTGTTAAAAACTGTAATAATTAACACCAAATTGATATAAATATTCTTCACGAGTGTAAATTCTTATCTATAGATATTGCTTTTAATCAATCATCATAAAATATAACAATAGCAATAAATGAAATATGAATTGTTTACATCTTCAAAGTAACAACATATTTGCATGTTATACATTACAATATATTAAAATATATAATTATAAAATATATTACAATTAATTATAATAATATGATAAGATTTAATTATACACAAAGAGTATTCAACAAGTAATGCCTCCATATTTATACAGAAACTCAGTGATAAGGTATCAAAATGAAATCAAAACAAGAACAAAAGCTGAGTATTCCTAATTTAATTAACACGCTTCATTTTTCTATGTAGTATTCTTTATTTTTGATTCAGATACGCCATGTTTAGCCACTTTTTCACATTCATCTCAGTAAAAATCGTCATGTTCTCGGAACCATTTCTTCCTGGAGACTTGAACAACGTCATAGAGAAAATGAATTCATTCAGGATGTCTCTTCAGAGTAGAAATCAACCAAAACTCTGGAGGGCTCCAAATCTGGTCTATAAAGAAAGCTTTCACGAACTTCAAATCCGAATTTCTGTGTGGCTTGTGATTTGAGTGGAAAGTGATTGGAAAATAGCCTTTAATTATTGGTAATCAAATTTTTAGTAGAATGCATTTCAAGCTTCTCATCAGCATATTTCAGGCACAAAGACCCCACATCAGCCTAATACATCCATACAGAGATGCTTGAAATGCATTCTACTAAAAATTTGATTGTGGTTAATTAAAGGCTATTTTTTTTTTTGTAAAAATTTAGTCTATTTTGCTCCAGTCAGTCCTTGATATGATAAATACGGCAATAATAAATAGGAGGGTTTATTAGGCTAATTAATTTAATCTTACTTGTTAATAATAAGTTGTTAGACTTACACAACACAAAATCATGGGGACAAAAGAAAAAATTTGATGGTAATTATAAATACAACTTAATCAAATTAAAATGTGACTAAATATAAAATTAAATTCATCTTTACATAACGCAGTTTATGTTATGAGAAATGGAAAGTCTCAAATGAAGATACGTATCTTTCCTACAAGCAAAATTAAATCATTACGAATGGATCTTGATAAAATTCACGATAAATAAATCCGCTTGTCAAATAATTATGAGCATCAAGTGATTTGTATGCCTTCATCTGATCCAGTGTGACAGCGTTACTTGTTAAAACCAAATAATTTACTATGTCTCCATGTTCTATAGTGGGCCACGTGCTTAAATCGTTAGATGAAAAATCCATTAGATTCATTTCGTATGGATCCCATCCAATAAAAGAAATTTTCTCTTTATATTCTATCAAATCATTATCTTTTAAATCGGCTGCATAGCCAAGTAAGATGCCTTTCTTCCATGTTGACATAATAAGCGAACGAGCAAGGTTACATCAAATCAGCAACCAATATGGCGGACGATTGTTTTGGTGGGCGGAGCGATGATGTTATATTACGTGACTGCACCCCTCTATTTTGTGGTCGTCAGAACGAAGTCATGCCGAAATAGATTATTTTTTTAGTTGTACGCGTAATATGGAGTGAGTATAAATTGAAAATACAGTATAAAGTTTAGTTTGCATATTTTCTTAAATTTATAGGAATAATTTTAAAATGGTTTACTTTTACTTAATAAATTAAATACAAGTTTCTGTAAGGTTAAAAATACTGTATTGTCTAATAAAGAATGTAAAAAAAAAACTTAATTTGCAATTTACATTTGTTGTTTTTGATTATTTTATTATTATAATAAATGTACAAAAGAAAGCTTTATTGAAATGCAAAACAGATAAAAGTTACTTCTTTATGTTTAAAACTCTCTCAACATTAAAATCTTTGATATCACGTAATTTAGTTTAATTGAAAATTTTGCAATAATTTTAACATTAATGTCAATACATACAAGAGCTAATGAAATTATAAATAAGTGCCTTTTATCAAGTTTTAGATGAAATGTCTATAACTATAATGTTTGCCCGCTCTCACAACAACAACAACAACAACAACAACAACAATACAAAGTTTAGGCTAATTGATCAACATTTCCGATTTCAGTAGGTTGACTTCATTCAGCCGACCAATCAGCGCGTTGTGCCATCTGGATATTTAGTCGCACGTACAGACGTGAACAACTCCAGTCCCCAATTGATTCGGATAAACGACGCTCTACTGTAATATCAGATAAAATTTTCGAGAAAAATGTTTATTTTTAAATTCTACCTTTCTTCATGTTGAAGCAACAAATTTAATTCTTCACTCTTTACAGATTAAAGCAATTCTGAAAGAAGAAAGAAGTAAAACTCGAAAGATGTCTGCCGAAATATATTTGGAATTTACACTTTAAGTTCTTAAATTGCAAAATTCGAATACAAAATTACAAATATACTACAGAAGAAGAGTTATCTCTGTTTTGGCAAATACAGATATAAATAAAATTTTCAATCAAAATTTTATCTTTCATTCAGTGAAGATTATCCCATTAAATATTGGATACAGGTGTAAAAACTGTAAAATATGTATATTTCTTTCTAAATTTTAAATCATTAAACAGAGATTAAATAGTAATAAAACACACTCTTATTTAACTCTTGCAAAGAAGTAAATTAAGTAGCTTTATTACAATTTAACTCATCATACAAAATTGTCAAACACTCAGCATTGCGTGTAAATTTCATTTAAATTCTTGAGTGTGTGATACGTAAATTGCTGCGTGTAGTGTAAGGTTAAAATAGATGTTAAGTTATAAAATATAACGTCATATTTTACTAAGGCAATCAATTGTAAATACAGTACATACTCTTGACGGTTAACATGGACGTCAAGAGTATATGCTAGAAGATGTTCGATGTTAAATCAAGAAACCTTAATTGTAATAATACTTCTAATTGTAAATATATTTTAAACTATAATGGTATTTTAACTGTAAATAAGTAATTTTAAACGGAATATATACATGTCAACACCACCTACAAGATATCCCGGAAGTCATGCCAACAGATGTTATGCCCGAAACGTGTATCGGCCTATAGGATATTCCGAATAAAGATGATGTAGAAATGCCCTGTCTATCTAGGTACAGTACCTAGTCGTGACGATAAAAACAGGTAAAAGAAGACACGGTTTCAGAATACACCACAATTAATTCCTTGTTTCACGAGAATATTTTATGAATTTTTTTGTTTATTTTTTACTCTGCTCTGCAGACACTAAAAAGTTTTTTCTTCAGTATTCATCAAACAATGGGAACGGTGATAGAAATATCAGTACATATTTACAGAATTATCTAAATATATAAAATTACTTGTCCTGACTGACTGACTGACTGATTCATTATCGCCCAGAGCAAACCGCTGAACCTAAAGATTTGAAATTTGGTACACAGGGTACGTCATAAAAATGCACACTAAGAAGAGATTTTTCGAAATTCCCCCGAGAGGGAGAGAGGGAGAGAGGAAGAGAATTAAGGCTTAACCGTAAAAAACGGTTTCTACTGTACTATTTTAAATGCGATTTTTTGTTTTTATCTGCGATTTAGTAGGGTACGCCATGGGAATGCACACTAAGAAGGGATTTTTCGAAATTACCACGCAGGGGGAGAGGGAGAGGATTAAGGCTTAACCGGAAAACGGCTTCTACTGTACTATTTTAGATGCGATTTTTTGTTTTCAACTACGTTTATTGTTCATTGAGTATTTCGGTGTATTAAATTGATAACATTTCAGACATTGTTATAAATATTTTTATCTATTTCGATTTTTAAAATGTTCGAACCTTTTTAAATTCGAATTTGTTATTGCATATTGGTTCGATTATAGAANTTTTATAATAAAAATTCAATTAAAAATAATTTGAATTGTTTTTCTTTCAATTCTAAATTATTAAATTATGAAAATTAAACTATTTTTGATTTTATAGTAGTTTCTACCTAGTTTTGTATTCTTCTACCTAGTCGTGTACTTCTACAATTTATATTCGAAATAGATTTTATTTTAATTTAATTTAGGCAAAATTTGAACAGCTTCTACACGAGACCATTAACGATAATATATATAATTTTAGCACAGTTTAGTCTGTAACTTTAAAATCGTTTTTAATGTAAGATTGTTAGAGTAGAAAAGTGTTATTCGTAAATGAAAAATCCGGACGAATTAAAATTCAATTAAGAATAATCATTAACTTTAAAATTACAATTATTTCATCCAAGATTAAGAGTTTAATGATAGTTTTATTGAATAGCCAGTCTTCTTGTATAATCAGATGTTTCATGAATACAGTGTTAACTTATTATAAAATATATTAAATTGCTGTCCTCTAATCGGATAGTAAATAGAACTGAAGGTATATATATAGATCACATACAAGCCAATGCATACTGAATAATAAGTGACATGGCTATTATTAAAATCATTGCCTTATTGATTCTATATCACTGCGCTTTGGGAGGAAGAATAATGAATCGGGAGGACCAGGGTGATATTAGAATCTTGGATACTGTAGGAGATGGCGTCAGAGATGTTGTCGAATCCGTTGGACGTTTGACAAATAAACTTCTTGACGATGCTGCAGACAATATGAAAAACGATACTTAAATGTATAATGAAAACTTAATTCATTTTTCAGTTAATGTCATTTATTTAAGTGAAATTTGATTTTTAAATAAATTATATTTTTTAATAAAATAGATGAAAATTAGTATATAATTTGAAATGTAAAGTTTTACTTTACATTTCAAATTACTTTACATTTCAAAATAACTTTACCGAAATAAAATCCGTGCACTAGAACTTTAGAACGATGATTAATCATAAATATTACATTAACAAGGATAAAATTATTGGATTTTTTTCTAGCAATTATTTCTGTAAATAGAATGAATTTTTAATTTAAATAAATTCACGACTGTATAAATATTTATGACGTGAGTTATATATTTAAATATTCAGAGGAGATCATAATACTTGTTTTTTATTTTATATTATATATAATCCACGTACGCTTAAGACGTTATTGCTTCATCAAGATGATATTAGTATTGACGTTTCTGCGTACAAAACTTGAATTACTTCAAGAAAATATAATTTTTACTATTTTATTTTTATTTGCAATTTATACAATTAGTGCTTATTCGATTCATTATTATAAATTCAAAGGAAATTATTTACCGCCTGGACCCTTCTGCCTTCCCATTATTGGTTATTTACCTTTCATTGGTGATAGACCTCATTTAACGTTTAAATCTCTTCAGAAGAAATACGGAAATGTTGTCAGGTAAAGTTTAATTAATTAATTTAATATTAGTAATTGAAATGTATAAAATAATTATCAAAATTGCTTTTATTTTAGTCTTTATTTTGGAAGTCGATACGTAATTGTTCTCTGTGATTATGCCGCCATTAGAGAAGCATTTATGAAAAATGCGTTTTTAGGAAGACCACCGAATGCACCGAATCATGTAATTAAGGAAACAGTGAGTAAGTATATTAAGATGTAATCTATAAACGAAAAAAAATATTGTTTTAAGCTAACTGGAGATGTAAAATTGTTATGAAAACAAATCACTCTCGTATATTCAAATACTTCTAAAAAACTAAAAAGCTAAGTACAAAATAATATATCTTATTAATGTCATTTACAATTTACTTTTTAGAATATAGAATATCATACATAACATTCGGTAATTTAAATGTTTTGGTTATTATTTAAATAAAGGTTTTAGCGTATGCAGTGGACACATTTGGAGAGAACAGAAAAGATTTGCACTTCACGCTTTTCGAAATTTAGGATTTGGAAAACATAAAATGGAAGATCATATAAAAGTATTTTTCATAATTAAATGTTCCTATTTCATATTATATCTTGTGTAAATAAATTATTTATTTTTAGGAAGAACTTAGTTTCTTTTTGAAAACATTAAAAGATCATGAAGGTGAAGCGTTTAATGTCAGACCTTATTTATCTGCAAGCACTTCAAACAATATATCTGCTTTAATGTTTGGAAGAAGAATGGATTACGATAATCCTAAACGTGTCCTTCTTAATAAAGTTGTCGATGATCTCTTACGTTTCTTCAGACCAACTGGTTATCACGCTTTCTTNTATATGTAAACAATGAAGTCCGATATAAAAAGAACGGGCAAACTGACATTCACATTCGAAATTTATATCTTCAGGAACATGTTTTATCAAATCTTAATAATATATTTTACCAGTAATATAATATGCAGTTATTCTTCGGATTTTTCGAGTTTTAAAGTGAGAACGAAAAGAAACTACAACGATGAGAAGATGGAATTTTCACATTTTGCTGATAAAGTAAAAAATGCTACCAACATATTAGGAGAGATGATGAAAAATTTTGCAACAAGCGTTAAGGAAGGAGCCGAAGAAATTTGGGAAAAAATTAAGACTAAAGCTGAAGAAACTTTTGGCAGAGATTGAAATTATCTTAATATGTTTATTAAAAAATCCTGGCATTATTTATAAAAATTTTGAAGAATTCTTTCTAAAAAATGTTATTAAATTTTATACTTCCATAAAAGATTATTGTGTTTCGTACATTAATTAATATTAACTTTATTATTAAATAAAAATCTAATTGCATTTTATAGACAAATCCATTAATTAAACGACTTTTAAATTAGATAATTAGATTTTAATCTTAAATTTTAATAAGTTATTAATTGCTAATTTATTTTAAAAAAAATCGAATAAATATTACCGAATTAATTTAGGTTTTTTGGCTTTTACTTTTAGGAAATAAGACACTGCCCAACACACTATCCAAAGTTCCTCCGACTGTTTTTACTACACCTGTCAATACCTGGCCAACAGATTCTAACAATCCACTCAAACTCGGCATTTTACTTTTATCTGTATCTATATTTTGACAATTTACAATAAAAATTACAAAGAAGAAAATGATAAAATAACGGGAATCCATAATGTTGTGAATCGTATCTGAAATGAATATCTGATCATTTGCTTTTATACATTTATTTCGGCTGAATAAACACGATTAGGACCCTTTGCACTTATATAATTAGCCTAATTCTTTAAAAGGAAGCAATAAATATTTTGATAAAAAAAGAAATTTGTTAGACTGTTATTCAGACTGAACAACAGTCTTCCTCCATTAGACAGTCGTTACACGTTTAATTATAATTTATGATCAATGATGCAGAGTATAATAGCTTATAAAGGGTTTATCCGTTATAAAAATAATTAATAAAGGAAATAAAAAGTGTTTATGATCGACTAATCGACTAAATAGCTAATTTAGTGTCTGTTACTATCAAAAAATTTTTAGGCAATTATAGCAAAGTTCTTTAAGAAAATTTATGATAATACTATGATNAACTTTTAAATTTCCTCACTAAACGTATTAAAATAGGCGGACGTTTTTTTTATTTTTAAATACTTAAAAATTGCATATTTTATAAGTTAATTTGGTTATTTTTTAATTTTATAGCGAAGAAATTAGATATCATCGGAAAACGTTAGATGCTGATAATGTTAGAGATTACGTGGATAGTTATTTATTGGAAATGGAGAAGAAAAAAGAGAGCAAAAATACAAGTTTCTCAAGTAAAAATTTAGTTTATATATTGTGTAAAGTTATATTTTTATCTAATTATATGATAGCTAAACTGAAGTATCGGTATCTAACTTTTACATTTCCTATAAAATAAAACATTTTATTATATATACATACATACTACAAATTCGATTTCTCACTTTCAACCATAAATAATTACAGTGAAACTATGCTTTTGTCATCCAAAAGTAAACATCACACTTCTTGCCATTAAACAAATTCATATTTGAGGTATTGAAAACTGAGCGACTTGAACAAGGGACTTGAGGAAATAATATAAAAAGAATGGCTCCTAATTCTCGGAAAATGACGTAGATAAATGTATTATCATTCTTTTGCTTTTAAAACTTCCTGGAGGATGTCAGGCATAATGTCAATGAATTTTCAGCATATTTCTGGTTGCAAATAACTTCTATTCTTTTCCAAAATTCTTCTATATTTGAAGCTACATTATCTAAACTTGAAAATCTTTTTTCATTCGAACTAAATATATTCAATGGTGTTTAGTTCTAGTAATTGAAAATGTCAACTGAGAACACCAAGATTAGATACATAGAGCACTGTCGATGCAATACACCTATACACTGTTATAACAGTAATTGTTTTGGAATAAGAAATTATTATTAAGAAGCTAGATGCTAGTTTGGCTAAAGTAAAAGTAAACAAGTATTTGTTTTTCATATGAGGTGATAAGTTCGTCTTTGGTGACGTATTCGATAGATAAAATCGGAAGAGTTTTTGACAATCATGCAAATAATATCGGCAGATATAACAGAAAACTGGCTAGATAACATTGATTTCATTACCTGGAATCACAGTCAACACTGTAAATAGACACACAGAGGAAAAAAATAGAGAAAAAATAAAAAAAAGATCGAAGTAAGAAAAGCAAGAAACTCTTGAAAACTAAAATTCACTCGTGGTTCCAAAAGGAAAAAATAGCTCCTGAAAGCTTTTAATCTTCTTTGTTTTTAGTGAACGATTCTTCTCAGAACAAACCAAAGAAGGTGCACTAAAATCTGTTTCTATAGAACTATTTCCTAAGGTTTCTGAGATATGTATAGCAAAGTCCAGCATCCAAAAATGATAAATAAACAGGTTATTTTGTAAACAGGTACCTTTCTATACATAATTATAAAAGTAAAATATATATTAACCAGAAAATGTTTATTAGAAGCGTATCTATGCTGAACCTTACTACCACATTATATGTTTAGTATTCTTTTTTTAAATATAATGTAGATTCTATATATTTTTGAAAAAAAATATATATATGTCTATTAAAATACTTTTTTGGCAATTTTAGTTCCAATGTTGCGAGGAAATATATCATCTTTATTTGGAGCAGGAGGATCTACCATAAGAGCGACACTAGAATGGTCTCTACTGACAATGGCAGGTTATCCAGATATACAGAAAAAAATCCACGCAGAAATCGATGAAGTAGTTGGAAAAGAAAGGACGCCATCTTGGATTGATCACTCTTCTATGCCGTACACAGAAGCAGTCTTAATGGAAGTCCAGAGATGGAAAACAGTTGTGCCTGTAAATTTAGTACGCTAGTAAGTATACTATGTTGCATAAATAAATAATAAAACATTTTTTAAATTAAATTACATTTAATTAGCGGTCTACGGGATGAAACAGTACAAGGCTATTATATACCGAAAGACACAATTGTATTTGCTAATCTGTGGGAAGTACATCACGATTCGCGATATTGGGAAAATCCAGATAAGTTCATCGCAGAAAGATTTCTTTCTGAAGATGGAAGAACTGTTATTAAACATCCTTGCTATATGCCGTTTACTATTGGTAAGATAATATTTATATTAAGTTTATAAACATTATAATAATTTAATGTAATTTCCAGTCGATGGTTTTAATATGATTATTTTCAAAAATTTCAGAAGTAGGTCTCTAAAAATAAGTATAAAATATCTGAAAATGAAATTTTAAAATTATTCATTTTAAAGTAACTATTTATGGATATTACATTGAATTTGCAGAAAAAAAAAACTTGTAAACTCAAACAAGACAGTATGCTTGCATATTTCTTATAGTAAAAATGTAAGCTAATTACTTTCCCTAAGCTGTACTTTCCCTAAACTGTAAGCTGTTAGTCTATATATGAGAGGGAAAGTATGGCGATCGGTCAAAAAAATGACATCTCAAAATTTTTACATTTTTGGACTGGGACCTTGATACGTCGAGAAATGCTAAAAAAACGCGTTTTTCCCCTCTACGTATAGATGTTAGTGTGTGGAGAGGGCACAATTTTATTCATCCTGTTTGTAGCTTAATAACGCCCGTGCTTTTTGTCGAAAATTTCTGAAATTCTGCAGGATGGTTTGCTTATTAGGGGATTGGTGCTATTAAAGTTTGGTGATTAAAGGTGGAGGGAGTGGGAAATAAAAGGGAAAATGCTAATAACCAGTAAAATCGTCATTACGTACGACCCTACTGAAGATACAAATCTCCAGTAGGGTCAGACTTAATGACAATTTTACTGGTTATTAGCATTTACAATTTTTTTTATAAAAACCGTTCCTACCCTCAAAATTAAGCTTTTTTTATTTAATAATAATTGAAAAAATATAAAACGTTTTAAAAAAATTCTTTAGGCGATTTTTCCAATCGAAGTTTAATGATTTTGTGAATCATATGTTTAGAATTAATTAATCATTGTTAGATGAAAGTCATTATAAGCACCAGACATCGACATGACATTTTTTTCGGAATAATGACATATAAACAGTTCCGAAGTACACTAAAATAAATAATTGGAGGCTAGAAGGGCAAACTGACTGGTATTTTTTTTTTCAGTCAATACTAGACCTATTAGTTACAGTTTAAGTGTAAAAATTAAGTAACAGTAGGTTAAGTTTACGTGATGAAAGTGAAAGATATGTATATTACTCTAAAACTTTCTAACAGGAAATATGGGAGTTAGACTTTAAATTTTTGTAACAAAATATTCGTTGGTAAAAACAGTTCGTTCCTGTAAGCTTTTAGTGAATTGCAGAAGAAGAAAGATTGAAAACTGTGTAATTGGTATAAAAGGTTATGAATTAATTAAAATTTTCTAAATATTGTTTTTGCTTTTTAAAGGTAAACGTTCCTGTCCAGGAGAATCCTTAGCTGTAATGGAAGTATTTTTGTATTTCACTACAATTCTTCAAAAATTTGATATTCTTCCACCGAAAGGCGAAGTAATTAATTTTGATGCTGCATTAGGAATAATTTACGAGCCACTTCCTTACAAACTACGCTTTATATTAAGAAATTGAATAATTCATTATGTTATAATGTCACAAATATTTATTAGTTTAAGATATTTTTTATTACTTTTCCCTAAAATTGTTAATGACCTTTCAAAAATTATGTTTTAATGTAGTTTAAATTTTACAATTTACAAAAGTAATTAAAACTTATATTGTTTTAGAATGTATTATAATTTCTAATAAAATTTAAGATTAAGACGTAGTTTTCATTTTAATAAAATGTTTATTTGTAATTAAAAATACAACGTGGAAACGTAATTGAGAACATCATTAATTAGAATTTAATTTTAAACTCGTATTTTTTATATTATTTCGTAAAAAATTAGCTTTTAATAATATCTTTTATCCAGCAACAATTCTTCTGTTTTGATATTTATTTATCAGTAGCAGTAATTCGAATACAAAGAGTTAATACTATACCATGCTAACACCATTTTAATGTATTCACCATATTTATAGATTTAAAAAAAATTTAATGTAAAACAAAATTTTTGCATTAAATAATATATAATTTCACCTCTTGTAAATATATTTTACAAAATATTAAATATATAAATTAGAATGTTTGTTCGCTATACACTCCGAGGCCGTTCAACTAATTGCTACAAAACTCGACAGTTACTTTCATATACTTTTAACTTAGATAATGACGTACATTCCAACCAAAAATACCTATTGGATTTCTGTAAATCAATTAATTTCTATCTACATTCGATTATCTCATTTACACGTAACGCCATCTATTGGCAACAAAATTAACAAAATAATAAACTAAATATAATTCTTATTAAAAAAAATATAATTTTAAAAATATGTATTATATTGACTTAATTACTGCGACAATATAGCGCGAAATAGACCCGCTATATCATTACTGCCACAAGTTGCACATAGCACTTGCCTACGTGAAATCGAAAGACCTGCGAAAAGTCTAAGTACAGTATTTAATTTTTCACATGTAACACCTCGTGTTTTTTCATTTCATATACTTTCTTAATTCTAATAAGCGCCTTCCAGTATCCGAGTGGATAAAACCACCGAACACTGGTAGTTTTTAGTCATGAGTTTAGGCGGATTTTCTTCATCTAAATAGGGTCCAGCTTCCCATAAAAGTCTTCCCGGGATGCACCCCCGTCGGCAGATCGCTCAAGTGTCGCGTTGACGTAACCAAATAAACCAAACTAATTCAACAAGAAATTAGTTATTGTGACATCGTCACAATGTTCTCAATTCTTTTAGTGGCGATCTTGCCCCTGTACGTCATACTTTTTCTTTAACAATAGAGCCGTGTCTGTCATCTATTATCACCTTTGCGGGGAAAACTTTTGAATTGAAATAATGTAACTTCTGGTACGCGTCGGACGTTGATACGTAGTTAATCGGGGTCTTTTATCCCTACGGTTTCCATATCTTGTCTTGAATTTCATCTGTCTAACTCCGTTCTCGAGATTAAGGAACGACGGACGGATGGACGACAGAGGGAATTTATAGATCTACAATTTTTTCAAATTGCAGCGCAAGAAAGGCATTATACTTACAGTGACCATACGTCCTTTATTTAAGAGGACAGTCCTTTATTTCACTGCTCTGTCCTTTAACTTTATTTATTTTCTAAAATAGGCATTTGTCCTTTATTTTGTAAAGTTGACGCAAAGTTTAAAAAAAAAAAAATTTAATAATATATTGAACAAGTTAGTTTTGTGTACGCCATCACGATCAGTGTTGCATTGCTACATAGAGAGCAGTAGTGCAGTGTGTCGCCAACCAAACGGCCCACTGACAGTACCAGGGGGTGGACACTCTTATGGGGATTTTTGTGATAGTTTTTTAACTCTCTAGTTGGTGGATGATACACTTGTTAATTAAAGCTAAAGTTAGTTGAAAGAAAAAATGAGAAGTTTCTTCCTATTGTTATTAGAAAAGTGGTCTTAGCATTAGAAAAATCAGAAAATATACAAGCCAAAAAATTCAATGATGTTGTGTACACATTTTATCAAACGTGCATAGATTATCTAAATGATTGGGACATGTTTTTTATTGAAATAGAGGCGTTTGAATGGGTCACATTATGTGAAATCCCTTTTTGGGCGAAGGTAGAGGAAAGCTATATCTTTATTTCGAATCATTGGTCCGTAAATATACTCGACGGTGAATTATTTGATGAAGTTTCATGTGTAAAAAAAAATTGTCACAAACGAAAAGATCGACGAATGGTGACAGAATAACCAGCCCTGCCATCAAAGGTGGGTTGAGATTTTTGAACATTTTACAGCAAAAGAAATTGTTTCAAAAACATTTGTAAAATCGTAGAATTTTCTTTGTCTCCCTGGGTCTAATGCCCCGTTGAACGAATATTTTCATTGGTGAATAATATGTGGACAAATGAAAAAACCCATTTAAAAGTAAGCACATTAGAAGCATGTATTTCCGTCAAATATAACTTTCAAATGAACTGTATGAAATTTTATGACTAAAGCGCTATAAAAAAATTAATTGTACTGAAAAGTATCAAAATTAATGTTGTTTAAATTTTTACAATGTGTGTGTGTGTGTAATAATTCAGATTGTTTAAAATTTTAATATATGCATTGTTGTATGCTACTATTTTCGTAATAAATGTCATAAACTTACGAATTTTATAAGGTATTTTTTGATTTTCTTCGATATGTCCTTTATTTTCCCCAAAAAATATGGTCACTGTACCAATAATAGTATGCTATCAAAATTTCACATTATAGATTTGGCGATTTTGGCACTCGCACTTAAAAAGGTTGCCCACCTTTGACCTTTTTTAGAAAGGCGCTGCCATATTTAGTCCTTTTTTGATTACCATACTAATCTGTTTTCCTTTTCTTTTTTTATTTTACATTTTTTAAGTTTGTAGCATGCTAAAATTTAATATTGTTGCATTTATTAAGTATTAACTAGACTAAATATGGTATNATGTTAACGTTTAACTGAAGCAAAATTTTAAGATTTATGTAAGTTTATAAAATAAAAAATTATAATGACATTGAATTTTGTTACTTCCAATTAAGATATTTTAAACCTATAAAATATTTCGAAAATTTTCGTGAAATGTTAAAATCATTTTCAATATGCCAATTTCAGAATACAGTAAAACCTCGATTTAACGGTCCTTATGTCATACGTGAACATTAATACCTATTAACTTTAAAGTGCTTTTTTTTATACGTAATTAAATTAACGGGTTACTTTTTTCAATTCCAAGAGTCAAGTCTTTACTTCATGTCAGATAGGGAGCGTCTCGATATATCATCATCATAATACGAATAAATAGGAAATTTTTTTGTGTTTTTATCAAATTTGTATTTTGTTTTGTTTTAAGAACAATATTTGTTTGTTTAGTTAAATATAATTAAAGTGTATTTCCCAAAAATTGTTTGTATATTTATTTCGATTTATATCGTATTCTTGTTTATTACAGTATCAGAACTACAATGAATAGGGCCTACATAAGTAATAATACATATAGAAAACTTTTCTGTGAAATTAAACTTCTCACACATTTTAATTATATAAATACAGGGAGGGAAAGAAAGTCACTTAAAAATCCTTGCTACAGAATGTAGAATGTACCTAAAGTTAATTCACTTATATCAGGAATACATTGAATAAAACTCCGAAACTGTAAATGGGAAGAAGGTCGTGTGACACATCATTTAGCTGTCAGAATTTAACAAGGAATTTTACTGACCTACCTCGAAAGGTTACAGTTATCCACGTTACATGATGTGCTCAATGTACATTCTTTGGGTACATTCTATATTCTGTAACAGGGGTGTTAAGTGATTTTCTTTCCCACCCTGTATATCTACGTAAGTGAAAACAGATACATTAATTCATTTGTCAATCTTTTAACACGCGCATTCGGAAAACCTACTTTATTATATAATGGACTTTCGGTTTTTAACGGACACTTCTCTCCCGAATTAGTTTGTTAAATCCATGTTTTAATTCTACTTTTATCGTTTGTATTTATTTCTATAATTTAATTAAATTAATTCATATTTTATTAAAAATATTTTTAAAAATTTTACTTTTTAAATTAAAAGAGAACAAGAAGAAGACTTAATTTTCTATATAATTACATTTCTAATAACTTACTGACTGAAAAATTTTTAAAATCAATATAAAGGTTGCCCATTATTGTGCTAATAAAAAATATAACATTTTTGAAATCTCTCGTCATTAAAATATATAACATCTTTACAATTATTGAAGAAATAAAATTGTATTTTTACAAGTTTTTAATTAACTGTGCCTTTCGGGAGGATTTTCTATTTGAGTCTTTTAGGTGTTATATACGTAAAGAGAATCCGGAAAACTCTATTTTGTCATCCCGTTGCTGTTAAATCATCAAGTATTTTAAAGTAAAATTTTAGTTTTATTATTTTAAACATTTTATTAAAACAACGAGTTTAAAAAGTAATAAAACACTTTATTACTGTTTTTAAAAATATTAAAGATATAAATACATATTATTTAATATTTTATTATATAAAAAATCATATCAGAAGATAAAAATAATAAAAACATTTTCCATGAAAAAATTTCTTTTATAAAATGATAACAAAATGGCGAGTTTTTCTTTTCATCTTAAAAGTATTTCTGATGTTTTTTCCTGTTAAAATGATAAATAAATTAATTACAACATTAATTTATTTTAATTTATTTTACATTAATATTATTATATTGTATATATAAACTTCAATCTTCAATTATAATACAAATTGTTCTCATATAGAATATTTCTCAAGTTCTTCAGAATTTTAAATATTATTCTAGAAACAAATTAAAATATATATAAAGAGTGTTGATTCCTCATTTAAAACGAATTTGTCACCCAATCGCATGGAACGTTAACAATAACATAAAGCCAAGGTCTAGATATATAAAACGACTTTATATGTAATTGCATTTATATGTAAACAATGAAGTCCGATATAAAAAGAACGGGCAAACTGACATTCACATTCGAAATTTATATCTTCAGGAACATGTTTTATCAAATCTTAATAATATATTTTACCAGT